ACACACACACACACACACACACACACACACACACACACACACACACACACACACACACACACACACACACACACACACACACACACACCTTTCGAAGAACCATCTGGGCGTCTCTGGAGTATAAGGGAGGCGCCCCTGTCAGGCCAAAGGTAGGAAGCGCTGATTTTGCGGGAGCTGGCAGCCAGAAGGCAGAGATACCTCCCAGGCAGAGCACTTGCCCATGCTCTGAATTCATTTCCTAGTGCCGCAAATTTTAAGTGGTTTTGGTGTGTTTTGTGTTGTTGTTTTGTTACTTTGAGACGGGTACCACTATATATCTCTGACAGGCCTGGAAGTCTCAGAGATCCGAGTGCTAGGATTACAGACTTGCTCCACCACTCCGGACTCCAGCTTAAACTGGTCTTTTTGAGTTCGTTTGCTTGTTTGTTTGTTTTTTAAAAGAATCATTCTTGTTGGGCGTTGTTGGGTCACACCTCGTACTCCCAGCAGTGGAGTCTGAAGTCAAGGCCAGTATGATCTACATAAAAAGTACCAGTCTTAAGGGGAAAAGGACAAGGGCGCGGAGGGCGGGGAGCGGGGGGGGGGGGCTGGGAGTCAGAGCAATGGAAACCAAGCTTCTCTCCAGAAGCCCCTGGTCCCTACCCCTCAAAGGATGGTAGTACCTCGCCACCCAACAGATTCTAGAAACCTTCCCAAAGCCAGCGGCCAGTGCGCACACCCCCTAGCGGCCACTTTAAGGAACTGTGTGCCTAAAGGACCTCAGGGTGAAAAGACCAGTTTGGAAGAAGAGCCTGATCATGTCCTCTGGTTCTCCCCAGTTTAAGCAGGAGTGGGTAAACAGAAGCGTCCCGGGGTCTGGCATATTAACACAGAGAATATCTGTCTTGCAAGCTTGACAGGTCATGGTGCTTTTGCAGAGTGAGATAAGGTTGGCAATCATCACAGCTTACACTCCAGCTGAGCTGGAGTTCCCACATCTGAAGCCTCAAGCTGAGCTGCTACCCACCTTTGGAACTGGCTCTGGGTCCTCAGGGAGGTGCAGAGCCACCAGGAGCTGGGATGTGGCTGTGCCGAGAGTGGATCCCAGCATAGGAGCCACCACAGGCACCCACCACCAGCCATTCCCAGCCCTGTAATGGAAGGCAAAATGGAAGGCAAAATGTCGGAGGTGATTCTCTCAGACACACCGCACCTGAAGAACTGAGAATAATAGAAAGGCAGGTCCCAAACTAGTTCCTGTCGTGACAGATCCCTCCGTGAGCATGGGGTCACCTTCATTAATGGGAAGGTCCCCAGCACAGCTTGGTCCAGCCTCTAGTCTTGGGGAATTAGCTGACAGGGTCACTAAAGCCCAAAGAAGCAATATGGCATGCCTAAGGACTCCTCTGAATCTACTATGTCCATGAAAGGGGTGGGGAGCAGGAGAGCTATGAAGGAGGGGAGACTTTGCCAGTTGAAGAAGGAACACTAGTTCCAGAGAACTACTTAAATGAAGAGAACTTGGACTGGGCACGGTGGCACACACCTTAATCCCAGCACTTGCCAGCCTGGTATGCAGTGAGCCCCTGTTTCCAATAAAAAAAAAAGGGGTGGGGGTGGGGGTAGAGAAGCAGGGACAAAGTTATTAACAGAGGAGACTGGAGGACTGTACCAAGGGAAACTGTCTCCTACTGAAGACCTCAGAGCCCCAGCCAGCAAAGTAGGTGAAGAGCCGTGGGCCCAGGTCCTGGACAGGGTGGAGCGGAAAACCACAGTTAGCATCCATGGCTAGTCCGATGGCAAGCACCAGCAGTCCCACCACCACAGGCTCGATCCCTGCAGGCTCCTTTATTCCGTCTGTCTGGGATCACTGACAGCCCCACAATCAGCGTGGAGTTGATGGTGCTAGAAGGAAACCCATCATCTGCCAGGTGGGTGCTTCATCCGTCCTCCCTCCCTCGAACAGTTCCTGCCCCACCTCTGTGCCACCTGACCAGCAGAAGCTAGGAATGCCGAGGTAGAACTGACTATATCCCACCCAAAATCTGCACAACGGGCTGAGGTCCTCTGGAAACAAGTCAAAGGTTGGGACTCAATTTCCCATGCCTTCCCTTCACACTTACCTGATCCAAGAAGCCATTGATCAGGGACAGATGGGGGAAGGGCAGGCGGCAAAAATGGAGGCTGTCTCTTTGGGACCAGTCACTGTCAGGTTCTCCCGCCTGTGTAGTGCTGGAGGGCATCTTCAGGAGAGAGAGAGGCAGGCACTCAAGAGTTCCTTTGTTTATCCCAAACCACTGCAAGGCACCCCTGCCCACAACAGCTGCCCCCAGTCCTGTCCCCTCTGCTACCACGGGAGAGAATGTAGAGAGCTCCTGAGGCCTGAGGCACAGAAGCACACAACAGTTACACAAAGCAGCAAATGGGGGGACCGTGGCCCAGGGGAGGGGGGCGTGGGCCCCCAAGCACATGGCCAGAGAGAAGGCTGGGTTTAGGTGGGCTCCTTCACAACGGGGGAAAGACAGTATTAGATACCACTGCCAAACACTATCACAACTCCGTGGCTCCTCCTACGATGCTTATTTCCATCACATCGTTTAAACAATTAAGCCTCAAAAAGATAATGATGTGGCGACTGGAGAGATGGCTCAGTGATTGAGAGCTCTGGTTGCTTTTGGAGAGGATCTTGGGCAGCTCAAAATAATCTGTCACTCCAGTCCCAGGAGATCCGATGCCCTCTTCAGGCACCCCATGCGCTTGCATAGACGTACATGCAGGCAAAACATTCAAACACATGGATTTTTCTAAGTGATTTATTTTTCAAAGTCACACGTGAAGCCAGGTTCTGAACCTGAGTAGATCTCCTGGTGTCCCTGCAGCACGCTGTGTCTCGAGGCTGAGGCCGGGCATGCTGACACAGTACGTATTGAGAGACAAGCTGATGAGGTCCTGAGCAGAGATGAGGGCTTCGGGTGTGAGGCACCTTTTTGTAATAATGGTAATTACCCTCAGTGCTCTGCTATAGACTTCTGCCTGAGTGAGCCAGGCGTCTGGTGTGACGAATGGTGTCTTAGTCAGGGTTTCTGTTGTTGCAACAAAACACCATGACCAAAGCAGCTTGGAGGGGAAAGGGTTCATTTGGCTCACACTTCCATATGGCTGTTCACTACCAAAGGAAGTCAGGACAGGAGCTCAAGCAGGGCTTGAAATTTGCAGGCAAATGGATGGAACTAGAAAAAAATCATCCTGAGTGAGGTAACCCAAACCCAGAAAGACAAACATGGTATGTACTCACTCATAAGTGGATTCTAGATATAAAGTAAAGAATAATCAGACTGCAACCCACAGAACCAGAGAGGCTATATAGCAGGGGGGACCCTAGAATGACTGTGGCTTATTATAAGTTTTGGCTTTGCCCAATCACTGGGCAAGCCTCAGTGAAACATTTCACTATTAGGATAAGAATTTATACTGTATCAAGCTGATAATAGAAAAATAAATAAATAAACAAATAAATAAATGAAAAAAATAAGTAAAAGTAGGTTCAGTAATCCACCTTTTTATCCTCTCTTATCTATATCCTATATTTCCATATCATATCCCGCTTTCTTTTTTAGAAAGAGATTGTATTTATAATCAACCTGTTTTAAGTAAAAATATTAGTTTTACTCTGTCTCACACCAGAGAGCTCTTTTGATATGGGACAGAAAAATCTCTCAGCTTTTTTTTTTTTAGCAATATGCTTGGGTTTAGAGAAGGAATGAGCCAATTCCATCTCCAAAGCCAGATTGGTATATTTGGAAATTTGGGCGTAGCTTCTCATACTACTTCCTGCTGGATGAGGGCACTGTATCTTATGGGGACACAAAGAAAAATTTAGGCTCATGGGGTAGTCCGTGAGGCTGTATTGTCTTAAACCATTCTGGATGTTGGATCATCTGGGCCATGGTGTCATCGGAGACCTTTCAGGGGGTCTTGGCTGGTCAAACCTGATGTATCTTAATCTGGAACAAATCCATAGCCTCTTGTTTCCTTAGAAACAAAAGCAGAGCCTCCTTTCCAAAGCAACATATCTTTAGATCTTTAGATCCAAATTTTGAAGTCAAGGTACCTTTAAAATATACATATTGGTTTAACTCATCTGCCTTTACAATCAAATATCTCTCTGCAGTTAAAAATTCCAAAGACAACACAATCCAGATTCTCTGTGTTATATCCATATTACATGGCATATTTTTATAGTACTTTTACTTTGTCTTTAAAGACTTTATTTTTTAAAACTTTCTATTTGTTTAATATAACTTATCTATATTCCTTTTTTTCTTGTAAGCCTACGTACAATTTTACAGACATTGTAAACCATTTAAAGTCTTGTTCCATCTGAATTTGTCTTATTGTGAACCTATTGCTTTAAATTACAGCATTTCTAAGACTGAAATGCAGTTCTGGCTGCTGGCTCTGCCCACCTCAGCTTCCCAACATGTTGATGGTATATTTACCACCACTCTGGGTCTGGAAGAGCAGTCAGTGCTCTTAACCACAGAGCCATCTCTCCAGCCCCTGGTTGTGAGACTTTTAACGACAGTTTCTATTTATTTAGGGGTTATTGGTCTATTTAAATAGTTTATCTGGTCTTAATTTAACTTTGGTATGTGGTGTCTATCCAGAAAATTGTCCATTTCTTCCAGATTTTCCAATTTTGTGGAATACAGGTTTTGGAAGTATGACCTGATGATTCTCTGGCTTTCCTCGTTGTCTGTTGTTATGTCTCCCTTTTCATTTCTGATTTTCTTAATTTGGGTGCTTTCTTTTTACCTTTTGGTTAATTTGGCTAGGAGTTTGTCTATCTTGTTGATTTTTTCAAAGAACAAACTCTTTGTTCCATTGATTCTTTGCATTGTTCTCTTGGTTTCTATTTCATTGATTTCAGTCCTCAATTTGATTATTTCCTGGCATCTATTTCTCCTGGGTGAGTTTGTTTCTTTTTATTCTAGAGCTTTCAGTTGTGCCGTTAAGTCATTGGTATGAGACTTCTCCATCTTCTTTATGTGTGCATTTAGAGCTATGAATTTTCCTCTTAGCACTGCTTTCATGGTGTACCATAAGTTTGGGTATGTTGTACTTTCATTTTCATTGAATTCTAGGAAATATTTAATGTCTTTCTTTATTTCTTCCTTGACCCATTGGTGTTTCAGGTGGGCACTATTCAGTTTCCATGAGATTGTAGGCTTTCTATAATTTTTGTTGTTGTTGTTGTTGAAATCTAACTTTAAGGCATGGTAGTCTGATAAGATACAGGAGGTTATTCCAATGTTTTTGTATCTGTTGAGATCTGCTTTGTGACCAAGCATGTGGTCAATTTTTGAGAAGGTTCCATGGGGTGCTGAGAAGAAGGTATATTCTTTTGTGTTAGGATGGAATGTTCTGTAGATATCTATTAAGTCCAGTTGAGTCATAACATCTGTTAGGTCCTTTATTTCTTTGTTAAGTTTCAGTCAGGTAGATCTGCCTTTTGGTGAGAGTGGTGTGTTGAAATCTCCCACTATTAATGTGTGGGGTTTGATGTGCGATTTAAGCTTTAGTAATGCTTCTTTTATAAATGTGGGTGACTTTGAATTTGGGGCATCGATGTTCAGAATTGAGACTTCATCTTGGTGGATTTTTCCTGTGATAAATATGTAATGTCCATCCTGACCTCTTTTGATTGATTTTAGTTTGAAGTCTATTTTATTAGATATTAGGATAGCTACACCAGTTTGCTTCTTAGGTCCATTTGATTGGAAAGCCTTTTCCTAGCCCTTTACTCTAAGGTAGTGTCTGTCTTTGAAGAAGTTAAGGTGTGTTTCTTGTATGCAGCAGAAGGATGGATCCTGTTTTCTTAGTTAGTCTGTGTCTTTTTATAGGTGAGTTGAGACCATTGATATTGATGGATATTAATGACCAGTGATTGTTAATTCCTGGTTTGTTTTTTGTTTTGTTTTGTTTTGTTTTTGTGATTGTGTTGTGTTTTCCTTCTTTGGTATTTGTTGGTGTGGGATTATCTATTGCCTGAGTTTTCATGGGTGTGTTTAGCTTCTTCAGGTTGGATTTTTCCTTCTAGTGCTTTCTGTAGGGCTGGATTTGTGGATAGGTATTGTTTAAATCTAGTTTTATCATGGAATATTTTGTTTAGTCCATCTACGGTGATTGAGAGTTTTGCTGGGTACAATAGTCTGGGTTGGCATCTGTGGTCTCTTTGTGTCTGCATAACATTTGTTCAAGACCATCTAGCTTTCATAGTCTCTATTGAGAAGTCTGGTGTTATTCTGCCTTTATATGTTACTTGGTCTTTTTCCTTTGCAGCTCTTAGTATTTTTTTCTTTGTTCTGTATGTTTAGTGTTTTGATTATTATGTGGTGAGGGACTTTTTTTTTTTTTTTTTGGATCCAGCCTATT